GCTTATATATGGGCAAAACCCTAAAAATTAGGGTTTGAAGTTCCACCACCTACGCCCTGCGTACGCGGTGTACGCCCGACGTACTAGGGTTCGCCCCAGTACGCCTAGCGTACACAACGTACGCTCAGCGTACTACCTCCTGGTGAAAATTACCAAAATGCCACTATGGGCCATTCTTGCAATCTTTCAAACCTAAGGGCCAAAATGCAATGTTCTTTCACACTCAAGGTTAAAATTGAAAATACCTCATCATCGGGGTGTTACATACGTTATGTCGTACGTTTATTTGTATTTTAAATTACGTTTACTTACATTTCTCACGTTTATTGACATACTTGTTTACATTTACGCATTTATTTACGTCATTTACATACTCGTTTACGTTTATGTTATTATTTACGTTCCCGTGTTTATGTTACATTTATATTTACGTTCATTTATATTATTCGTTAATATTCACAATTATTTTACATTCATAATTAACGGTTATCACATTTAATCAAGTTATATATATATATATATATATATATATATATATATATATATATCATTTTATGTCACCTTGTTACATAAAATGATTATAGTTTATATATAAACATGTTGTATACATAAAATAACCTATGTATCAATGAAAATATACAAAAATAACTGTATAGAAGTATATGTCATTTTACATAAAAATGATCAACATATGCTTATAATAACTCACATAGAGTATTGACAAAACATTTGGCTTACGGGCTAGCGTACAATCAAATAGTTTCACAAAATGATAAAAATTTACTAAAACTATTTTCCAGTGCCACATTACTTACATTTTAGTCTTGGGTTAAGACTTACAACAAGGTTAACATACATTCAAGTAGTTTTATATAAAGCTAAAACTTACTAACACTAGTTTCCAGTACAGCATCACTTACATTTTTAGTCTTGGGATTTTAAGACTTACAACGAGGCTTAAATACATTCAAGTAGCTTTATATAAAGATAAAACTTACTAACACCACTTTCTAGTACAGCATCACTTACATTTTTCGTCTTTGGATTTTAAGACTTACAACGAGGTTTACATACATTCAAGTAGCTTTATATAAACATAAAACTTCATAACACGACTTTTCAGTACAACATTACTTACATTTTTAGTCTTGGGATTTTAAGACTTACAACGAGGTTTACATACATTCAAGTAGCTTTATATAAAGATAAAACTTCATAACACGACCAATACAACATTACTTACATTATTAGTCTTGGGAATTAGACTTACAGTTCATATTAAAGAAAATATTGGATTTTCTGGAACTCACCAACTTAATTGTTGACACTTTTCAAAATCACTTGTATTCTCAGGAAATCAGTAAACAAGTAATCACAAGAGTTTTTGGTGGATGGGACGTCGTCGCATCACGTTATTTACTTTTGTCATATGCATTTGATCTCATGTAAACAATGTTTTTGAGTACAATGTAAACATATTAAATATTCAATGCAATGGTTGAAAATGTTTTGATCTCTATTATTCAATTGTTATGAAACCGTACATGAAGTCATCCGCCCCCAACCGTTTCCGCCGTACTGGTTTGGGGGTGTGACACGATCAACCGAGCTCTGATACCATGTAAACGAAAGTACAAACTAACAAAATATAGAACGGCTAGGGTTTCATATTATTATTATCAAATAAGAAGTACAAATACAATGAAAGGGAAATACATAATAAATAGAGAAGTTAATTAGGGTTTCCTAGCTAAAAGACCCAATCATAAAGCCCAATACAAGATAAAGCCCAAAATCTTATTAGGCTAACAAAAATATGTACATATAATTTGTACACAAAAATATTATATATATATATATATATATATATATATATATATATATATATATATATATAATTGTGTACAAATTATATGTACATATTTTATTATCATTTGGTGTATATATATATATATATATATATATATATATATATACATTTTTGTGTACAAATTATATGTACATATTTTATTATCATTTGGTGTATATATATATATATATATATATATATATATATATATATATATATATATATATATATATACACACACACACGTTCCGTTACATGAATGATTGTATATATACATTTATATATCAAAAGAATGTGAAAAGAATTGTTATATGTGTTCGTTATATTGTTTGCTTTGTTTATGTACACTTTTAAAGTGCTTTATTTTCTCACGGTCGTTTAAGCTACTAGGATTGTACGAGTTTAGATTGTTCGATTTTGGTCGATTTCATTTGAGTTGAAATCTGGTTTTTAATCGAAACGTAGTCGTTATGCTGTCCGGTTTTTAGTAGGAAAATTTAATAACTTTACACTTAAGATTTATTAGATCTTACAAAGTTAAAGTTTCCAAACATAAGCAATTGTAAAGTTGAGTTGTAACCAGCTTGGGATCTCTATGAGAGTTTTATTATTCATCAAACTAAGAACACAAACTTAGTAAAATACCTCTGTAAATACCGTTAATCTTTAAGAGCGGAGAATATTGTGTATAGATCTATATGGGTTGACACCCATGTATGTAGTTGCTAGCTACAACCTTCGTCTGACGAGACAAAGCGGATGATAACTCCTTAATTTATTTCTTTATTCACGAGGTTGATGAAGCGTCGTTGGGACTACAACACCACTTTTTTTTTCACTGTGCTTCACAGAGACGAATTCAAGTCATATAGTTCGGTTATAAAATTTTCATATCCCCGAAGTTCTCAACAAAAATACTAATACAAGTTAAAATAAGATTGTATCTAGTATAAGGATTTATACTTAGAACTTGGGTGAAGCGTAAATATTTATCAAGTAAAATAAATACTTAAGATTATACAACACGAAATCATTTTGATTCCAACTTATATTTCATAAGTGAATCAATATCCATACTTGTATAAGATTAGAAGTACAATCAAACCTAAGTCAGGTCTGTACTTATTTTGTTTATTTTTTATACTTTTTGGGTCATAGAAAAAGTAAAATTTTATATGTGTTTGAATCACATATATATTTGTTTCGTGTTTATACTATTGGTTATAGAAAAAAATAATATCTTATATAAGTTTGAAATACTTATATATTTGTTTTATACTTTTGGAATTAAACAAGTAATAATCTATATAAGCCCGGAATATATATCTCCTTATTCTAATAAAAAAAATAGATTGATTCTCCTTTTGTATGTGTCACCCTATTAGACTATTAGGTATGCGCAACTAGAAGTGGTGTTATAACAAGAAGCAACAAGAAGAGGGGGTGGTGTTCATGGTGTTATAACACCCGTTAAGAGGAGAGAGATAGAGATAGATAATGTGTGCAACCAATAGATGATCTTGTTTCATCTAGTCATGGCCACAACAAGAAGCAACACAACTAGATACAACAAGAAGAAGGGGTGGTGTTCATGCATCTTAACGACGTTGAGGATGCTCCACCTCAGCAACAACGAGATGCAACATGCCCCATACCTTCTACTCTTAGGCCTCCTAATTAATGTCATGCCACTTGTTAACCTATTATTCTCTATTTCAAATTTTAAATTTTCCACTCTATTTATATTAAATTAATAAAATTATAATAAAAATTAAAATAAAATTAATACATATTATAAAGTTACTTATTTATTTAAATCAACGATTATAATTTTATATAACTAAAAAATATATTTTAATCAACAATTTATTTAAAATAATTTATATAAAATAATTGATTAATAATTTTGAGTTTTTACTATGAAAGTTTAATTACCTTTATAACTGTGGTTATCACGGGTTATAATCTCTCTCTCTCTCTCTCTCTCTATATATATATATATATATATATATATATATATATATATATATATATATATATATATATATATATATATATATATATATGTATGTATACTTTTGGTTAGAAAAGTACACTTTTTATAAAAGCTGGTCAACCACTTAAAAATTTATAAAAACACTTTTGATTATAGAATTACAATGTGTCAAAACCTATAGAATTTACCAACAATTTTTGTTGAGGTATTTTTAAACGCGTGTATTCTTAGAAAATTAGAAGTTGGACTTCAAACCTCGTGAGTTATGGAATAACCTATCTTTCTTTGTTTATTGTTGTGGGTCAATCTGTTTAGACTTCGTTTTATGTCAACCTTCGTTTAACTGAACTTGTTGTAAACTTGTGTTTTGAAGTTTCAGATGATGAAATTCCTATATTCGAAATTATGTAAAGCATGTAATGATATTTAAGTTTTGTACCGTTCAATGTATGTTTGTTAACTGTGATCCAATTTCGACGTCGCAACCTCGACGCTTTCGTCGCGAGCCGGGGTGTGACAGTTTATGTTAGTGGTGAATTCCATAAAGTTTTATGGTCTTATTATATTGTCATTATATATTATATATATCATTTGTGTGTGCAAATGAATATGTATCATCAATAAGAATAGTTAGTAGAAAATTCTAAGCATGAGGTGCTCGAAGACATTCAAAAACTGCTTTCTGTCTATTAGACATGTCCATGTCGACTTCTTTGACGGTTTTGTTAGATAATAAAGTTGTTAGGACTTTTATAATTGTTAACAAAATTTAAGTCATATTTGAAAAAGATTATGATCGGATTTTAGATAACGAAATTCTAACAAATGAATATTAACATACGGAGATAATAAACTGAATACTCGATAGATATACGGTAGATCCGAAAAGATAAAGTCTAAATTTAAATACAGTTTTAATAATAAATATAAAACTTTGTCCTCAATATCCATCCTATTATCATCTCTACTTGAAGCTCAATAATAATAATAATATTGTCTTTTTGTAAAGCATCTCTACTTTTATTTCCTTTTCGAGGGCTTTTTAACGGCACTAACAAAGTAACAGTGACCCTTTTGTAAAAGGCAAAACCTACATAAGTAAAGGGGGGTTTTATGTAAATATTAATTTATCCGATGATCATGAAAGATTCGAAGCAAGTCTCAAGGAGACTTGGAAGTTTGAGGAAATCCCTGTATTTGTCTGTTTACTTCTCAATCAACACAATCATTATATTAAACTTTCATCCCAATCTTTCTCTCTCTTCCTGCTTGGATGGACGCGAAAGCTTCGACCTTTCTCAATCAGGATTCACGACCAAATTCTCTGTTTCCAAAACCCTAATTCTTCTCAGAAGCCCTAAACATTAAATTTCTTAGAAAGATGCTTTCTAACTTCGCCAAATCGGCGGAGTCGGTCTTTTATCGGTTGGCCATAAAGAAGGTCTGCAAGTTTTTGTTGAAGAAGAAATTAGGGCAACTTATTCTTGGCGACATCGATCTTAATCAGCTTGATGTTCAGCTTAGCAACGGCACAATTCAGCTCTCTGATTTGGCACTTAACGTCGATTTTATTAATAAGAAGGTTAGTTTCCTGTCTTTGTTTTACGGAATTTTGATATGAATCGCATGATTTTGTTCAAGAACGAGAGTTTGAACTGATATTCAAGGGTAATTGGAAATTCCATACGTAACACTTACACATGTGCTGGTTTATGCTTGTATTTCCAGTTTGGTGAAGCAGCCGTATTGGTTGTTAAAGAAGGATCCATAGGTTCTCTAACAGTTAGACTTCCATGGAAGCGTAGAAATTGTGAAATCGAGGTTGAAGAACTCGAAATTGTCCTTGCTCCTGGTAGGAAAAGAAGTTCTCAAGCAGCAGACGAACCTTCTACTTCTGGTCAAGATAGTAATACCTACACCAGTCATGGATTCACGACACCTGAACAAGATTTGGTCAACAGTACAATGACAAATCCTTCTGTGGACATTCATGAAGGAGTCAAAACCATTGCTAAAATGGTTAAATGGTTGCTCACAAGCTTTCATGTCAAAATCAAAAAAATGATTGTTGCCCTTGATCCATTCTCAGAAGAACCAAAAGCAAACGGCTTTTCCAGGACCTTGGTATTACGAATTGGTGAAGTGCAATGTGGAACTGGAATTTCTGAAGATGCTGACCTTGATTGTCAAAGGACAGTTGATGGTTTTCTTGGCCTAAGTCAACTGACAAATTTTTTAAAATTTGATGGAGCAGTTCTTGAGTTTCTTCAGCTAGATGATAATGGCAACAAATCAGCATTTCCATGTACTCCAGTCATTACAGGAGAAAAGGGAGGATTTTCAGGGACGATAAAATTAAGTATACCATGGAAGAATGGTTCTTTAGATATCAGAAAAGTAGATGCTGATGTTTTTATTGATCCTCTAGAAATAAGATTACAACCCAGTTCCTTAAAAAGCTTTATGTATTTAATGCATGTTTTTGAGGAACTGGAGAACGACCACAAGAGTTTTATGGACAATAAACCGAACGAATCTGTATACTACAATGCATCATTCCATGGTTATTCATCAGAGTTTTCATCTGATAAACTCTCTCAGAAACCTGAAACAGAATCATATTTGGATGCTTTACTTAGAGGGTCACATTTAATATCAGATTGGATGACATCACCTGTTACCAGTAACCAAGACCCGAAAACTGAAGAGCCAGATATTGATGCCAGTGTGGATCAATTCTTTGAATGCTTTGATGAATTGAGAACTTCACAATCTGCATTGGGGAACAGTGGGATGTGGAATTGGACATGTTCTGTTTTCAGTGCCATAACTGCTGCATCTAATCTTGCTTCTGGATCTCTTCATATCCCCTCTGGTATGTGCGAATTCAACAATTTCTTGAAAAAAATGAAACTGAAAGTAAGCAGTTTGACTGTGTATCTGTACAATGTTTATGATTCTTGTTTCTTTGTGATGCAGAACAGAAACATGTTGAAACTAGTCTCAAGGCAAGGATCACACAGATTGTAATATTGTTTTCCTTTGTGGATGAAGACAAGAAGCCTTCTTGTGTCCATTATATAAATGCAGATTTTCATGAGATGCAGCTTATGTTACAGGTAATGATTGTGTGTGTAGGCTTTTATTTTTAAATCACATTTCCCTTTAAACTAAGTTTAAAATTTGATAAGGTAACAGGTGTGTCCCCGAGAATCAAACTTTGAAGCAACAGTCAACCATATTGAGGTAGCTGACCATTTCAGCAATACATCCAATTCATATGTGAAAACTCAAGATTTATTGATCAGAAAGAAGCAAGCTGCAGTTGAAGGCGCTTGTCCTCCTTTGAGTTTTCAGGTTCAAAGTGATTCTGCAAACGTTTCACAAAGAGGTTATCGAGGTATTTACAGTGATGACGTGGCAAAGGTTTTGATTCTTAAAACTTCTGGTGTCACCCAATGCCAGTTTATTACACCTTCTGTTTCCCAAGATGTCAAGTCACAGCCAAAATCTTTTTCTATAAAACTTCCACCACTTGTTTTCTGGATAAACTTTCATCTGATAACTACAGTGCTGGATCTTTTTCAAAGAAATTGAAAAATCATGTGAAATATATGTCAAAAAGGACCTTTCTGCATCGATCAGTGGTGATATCAATATCACCCCAAAACACTCACATAGAGAAGCTCTAAGAGGCAACATCTCCCTTCTTGATGCAAGAATGGTGTTATGTTTCCCATGTGAGACAAATCAAAATCAAGAAAAATAAAACCTACTTATCATGGAATGAGTTCATTGTCATCGATTTTGCTTCTCCATTTCCCCTGGGGAAGGTCAAATCAAGTCAAAGATTTCGTGTCACACCCTCGCGTTCCTTCCACTTGAGTGTAGGAAATATATCAGTCTACTTTGTGAATGACATGCAAAATCTCAAATTTCGTGTGGAAAGGGTATTATCGGTATTTGATAAAACAGGGCATCCATCAGTTTTCAGTATGATATTTCAAGACAATGCTGTGACTGGTCCTTGGATAACAAAAAAAGCCAAGATTCTTTCTACTTCAGATGGGACCACTAGTAGGAATAAATCAACAGGAAAAGGCCATGGGTTTGCATTTGTAACCACAACCAAGGATTTAGAAGACTTCAGTACTCAAACACGAGAAGAAATGGTTTTAACCTCTTCATTTTTCATTCATGCTCGTTTATCTCCAGTCACCATCAATTTAAACAGTTCTTTATATCAAAACATACATAATCTTTCACACCAAATCACCGATTGGTTATCACACATATCCCCTAATCAAGTTCCCACTACACAAAAACACTCATTATCTCAATCATCGATCTTTCTGGAATGCAATCTTGTGGAGATTTCAGTAGCAACTGAGGGAATGAAAGACTCGATTCGGAATGAACTTCCGGGATCTTGGTGTAATCTGAAATTAAAAGTTGGAAACTTTGAGTTGTTAACTGTGTCAAATACAGGGGGAATTCGTGGGGCCAGTTTTCTTTGGGTGGGTCATGGTGAGGGAGATCTTTTGGGTTCTACTACAGAAGTTTCTGATAAAAACTTTGTTCTTATCTCATGTGAAAACTCCACAAGGGGACGTGGAAATGGTGAAGGTTCAAACATACTGTCTTCTAGGCTTCCAGGGTCTGATATCATACACATGTGGGACCCACAAAGTTTTATGAGTCAAGTATCTATAAACATCAGATGTGCCACTATAGTTGCCATAGGTGGTCGTTTGGATTGGTTTGATGCTATCATATCTTTTTTCAGCCAGAATTCAACCGAAAGTGACCAAAAGGAAGATACAAATTCTGGCTCTTCTTTTGTTCTTAACTTGATTGATATTGGTTTGAGCTATGAACCATACTCAAGTAATCCTACATCTCAACAAGATTCTGAACCTCGTGTTTCTGGTTTTCTAGCATCATCAAGTTTGAAACTTTCAAATGTTTCATCACCTAATTCAGTCCAAAAGGAATATGAAATCAAAGGTCATGATTTAGGCCTACTGTTATGTGAAGAATCTGGTGTTAAGAATCTTGAAAGATCTTACAGTGAGCAAAATCTTCGAAGATTTAGGTATGTAAAAGTTGCAGAAGAAACACATATTGAAGCTGTTTTAAGAACGAACTGTGTAAATGGACATGAATGGGAAATGGAATGTCATGAATCCCATATTGCTCTAGAAACTTGCCAAGATTCTACATCAGGACTTGCTCGTCTTGCTGCTCAAATCCAGCAGATTTTTGCTCCTGATGTTGAAGAATCAATTGTTCATTTGCAAACAAGGTGGGATGATTTCCAGATGTCACAAGAGTGTTACAAAACAAGAAGCTCAAGCCACCATTCTGCTTCATCAAGTTCTGAGTTTCATGAAACGTATACAGTCAACTTGATGGATGAAATATCTGAAGGAGCATTTGACTTGAATGAAAATCATGAATTTGTGCCACCTGTTAAAGTCCCATTTCGGGTGTTTGGGTTGGAAGATACTGGACCGGAGTTCATAGACGAGTACTTCAACAACCAAAATCCCAGTGGCAAAACGGTAATTCTAAAGGAAACTGAAGGGCAAGTTGGAAGTGGATGGTATGGCGATTCACTTTTGACAATTGTTGAGGATCATGTTTTTGGTAATGGAGAAAAAACGAAATCCAAACATTTTGTTGAAAGTGGGCCCTCTAAAAAAGTTAAGGGTCATGTAGTTTTGAAAAATATGGATGTAAGGTGGACACTCTATGGTGGGTCCCACTGGCAATATACAACCAATTCTTGCATGAGGAATAAAGATATAGGCTTAGAGTTTAAGCTTTCAAAGATGGGGTTTCAATATGATATGTTCCCTGATGGTGAAATAACTGTCTCTAAGCTTTCTGTTTCAATTCAAGATCTCTGCCTTGATGATGTCAGCAATCGTGCACCATGGAGACAGATTCTGGGGTGTTATCAATCAAAAGATCGCCCTCGGGAATCGCGTTCTAGGGCTTTGAAATTTGATTTAGAATCTGTTAGACCACATCCTTCAATTCCTCTTGAAGAATATCGGTAAGTTTAGATTTCTATTTCTTCTTCAGTTCTTTTTGCTTGTTGACATTAATCTCTTCAATGTCTCTATTTTTTCAGGTTGCAAATTTCAGTGCTTCCTATTCGATTACATCTTCATCAAAGCCAACTTGAATTCTTAATCAATTTCTTTGGTGGAAAGAACTCGTCTCCTGATCATTCACAAGAAACATTTGAAATAGATTTACCAGAGGAGGCATTACTTCCTTATTTCCAGGCAAGCTATATATATTTACACATAAATAAATTCTGTTTGTTGTTCTTTTAGTACTTATACTTGGCAATCTCTTTGTTTCAGAAATTTAGCATAACACCTGTTGTTGTTCGTGTTGACTACATTCCTTCTCGTGTTGACTTACCTGCTGTAGGCCATGGGAAATATGTGGAACTTGTTAATCTATTTCAATGGAAGGTAACTTTCTTGATTTATTTACATGTTTGCTGCCAATTTGTATGCATATTCTTATCTGACATAAATTAATAGTGATTTTATTACATTATTTTCAGGGGGTAGAGTTACAACTGAAAAATGTTCAAGCTGTTGGTGTTTATGGGTGGAGCAGTGTATGTGAGACCATTATTGGCCAATGGTTGGAAGACATTTCCCAGAATCAGGTTTTAATTTTATTATTTTTTCCAATGCTAAATGCAAGAAACAGCAACATACTTCCATTTTTTTTTATATATATTATATATTTTACAGGTTCACAAACTACTGAAAGGTCTTCCTCCAATTCGATCACTAGTTGCAATTGGTTCAAGTGCTGCAAAATTAGTTTCTTTACCTGTAAAGAACTATAAAAAAGATCGCAGATTAGTCAAGGGCATGCAAAGAGGTAAAATAATAAACTAAAAAAAAAAACAACTTTTTTTGTTTTTATTCAGTGAATCATCCTTGAAATTTTGTATAGGAACAATTGGGTTCTTGAGGAGTGTCTCACTTGAAGCTATTGGACTAGGGGCACATTTGGCAGCAGGGGTACATGCCATCCTTCTCCAAGCAGAGGAAATAATTTCCACCACCCCACCAACTTCCATCCCAAGGCCTATACAAACCAGGGTCAACCCATATGGACGACCCAGTCAACCCAAAGATGCTCGCCAAGGGATACAACAGGTAGGTAATCAAGGGCTTTTTCGTCTTTTTAGCACATCAAGATTCAAACCCTTTTACAAGAAACAATTTCATCCATGTGACAGGCTTTTGAGACCATGAGTGATGGTATAGGAAGATCCGCCTCTGCTTTAGTCCAGGCTCCCCTGAAAAAGTACCAACGCGGGGCGGGTGTAGGCTCCGCTTTGTCTACCGCGGTTCAGGCCGCTCCCGGAGCCGCCATAGCTCCGGCTTCTGCCGCCGCACGTGCAGTCCACTCTGCACTTCTTGGTGTCAGAAATAGGTATAGCAACATACTTTACTTTATTTGTTTATTATAAATTATAGATGAAAGTCTGTTGCTATTTCTTGAAATTATCTCTATATTAACATGGTGTGATTGACATCTACAGCCTTGATCCGGAGCATAAAAAAGATTCCATGGATAAATACTTAGGCACAACTCAATCTCAGCCTCTTTAGGAAAAGCCATCAGAAGTGTGAAACTATAACAAGAAACAAGAAGACATATTTATTAGCAAGAGGCGAAAACATGTATTAGTTTTGGTTTTGCTTATGGGACAATAGTGGGGTCATTGTGATGTTAGTGACTCCCTGCAAAGGCTCTTGTGTGAATTTACTCGAGTGCCCTTTGACTGCGGTGGAGATTGTGTCTTGGAAACGGTGGGTACAAGAGTCATTTAGGTTTGATGTGTACATAATAGGTGGTGGTGGTGGTGATGATGGTGATATTCATTTTAAGTGTGTATTAGCGCTCTTTTGGGTAGCTTTGTAAAGTTGTAATTCTAATGGGGTTTTTGTAGGTATATTGTATTCATAAGTTTGCACATTTCATGAAAAAGCTTGAAGTTGTATAAAATTCCACATGATTTGTTGTACATAATTCATGATGAAGTGAACTCACGTCTATGTGTACCTTTTTACAGTTAGGATTTACCCACAGAAACATGCTAAATCATGTTTTAATTGTTTGTTTTGTTGGATGGAATGGAACATTGAAGGTAATTGGAGAGATTATTTCTATAGAAAACAAATAAGAGCCACAATGGTATAAATTGGGTGGGGTTTAAGAATTTAAATGTCGTACGACACAACCACAAAAATATAGAATAAAATAGGGCATATATTAATCCACTACCTTGCTTTTAAGGCTCCATCCCCTCTTCTCTTAGGTCATGTCATCAAAGAGCGTTAACTCCATGTTTGATCTCATGTTATCTTCACTTTCTTCTCAAGTGTCTTTTATTCCTCACATTATTGACTGTGATAGACATCACCCTCCTACCCTGCCTACCATAATCTCATTTCCCTTAAGATTTGGTGATTGATATAACTCCCAACGAATTTTTTATTGCCGTATTCAATATCTTTCCAACAATGATCTCCTACAAGTACATAACATCTTCATTCCATGATTTACATCTTCCTCTCACGTCTCTTCATAAACAACCAACATTTTGATCCATATATCAGAGTTGGCTTTACTTGGTTTTACTGTCACCTATAAAGTTTTCTCTTCGGTTTCGCACAATGCTAGTGCTTCTATGACATTCATCCACTTTAACCATGTCACGTTTATGCAATGGTTAACATCCTCCTCCACATCCCCTTTCATAACGAATCATAGACCCAAAGCACTTGAAAATCTTCGTTGGATGTACTACTTGCTTGCATATACATATTTATACTCATCGCTCACCACTAAAAATTGCATATTAGATATTCCATCTTAGTTGTGCAGACCAAGCCCTTCGAGTATCCAACATAACATTCAACTTAGGGGCTGTTTGGTAGGATCTGAATTTTTAAGATATGAATTTTTAAGAGGTCTGAATTTGTAAGAGGGTTTGAATTTTTAAGATTTGAATGTTTAACATGTTGTTTGGTTGGAACCTCTGAATTGCTGTGCTGAATTATAAAAATGACTATTTTACCATTTTATTTTATTTTTTAATGATTTCAAGTGTCTGTTTATAAAATAACAGAATCAATTTCTTAAATAATTATAAAAAAAATATAAACAACATATAAAATCAAAATTGAGCATAAATCAAAATTAAACACAAATCCAAAAAAATATAAATATTTTTAAATCCACAAAATCATACTGAAATTCAAATAAAGTCCTACAAATTTAATTTGAAGCATTTGACCCCAATTGATTTGCAATCTAGTTACGCAAATTAGTTATGTATTTGTTGCCTTATGCACCCCATTCCATATCGTGTATGCTTTGGTCATCATTCTACACCTTCAAGCTTCGAACAAATTATATCCTTCTTTTCTTTCTTTTCTCCCATGTCTTTGATCAAAACAAACATATATTTTCAAGAAATCAGATCAGTTTTGCAGGAACTATAATATGATTTTAAATCAGATTTTCAGATTTTCAACTATTCAAGCACATCAAAATTTTCATGCACATCAAAACAAAGCACATAACATCTGTTTTCAGCATCAGATTTCATGATAACATCAAGAACATATGATTTCAACTAACTATTCAACATAACATCAACAACAAATCTGATTTCAACATCAACATTTCAACATAACATCAACAACAAATCTAATTTCAACCAACTATTCAGCATAACAACAAATGAACATAATTTCATTCGTTGTTTTCAAGCAAATCAGAACACACTACATACAATTGAACATAAAAAACGACCATAACATATCACATCAGGAAAAAAAAATGACCAAAACAACCCTAATATGTTGAATTCGATTTTCAGATGGAGAAGAAAAGAAAATAGCATCTGATACTCGATTTTCAAAGGGAAGCAACATCGATTTTCAGACCAAAACATTCCAGAAAAACAGTCTCCAAATGTTATTATCGAGTTTTGGGGGAAAACGAGAAAGAAACTCACCTGGAACCGGTGTCAATAGAGGAGGCGGCAGCGTCAGCGGCGTCGAAGATGCTGGTGGAGTGAAACACCTTGGAGACGGACTGAAGAGGGAGAAGTGGGGCGCTGGTTTGGTGAAGAATAGTGAAAAGAACGAACGGTCGAATGTTTAGGGCACAAAGGGAAAACGCGTTATTTTTTAAAATTCAGACATGGTCTCACGTCTGAAAATTTAAGAGACATTTAGAAATTTAATAGGTAAAAAATAAGATGCAAACAAACAATGCATTTTATAAATTTAAGAACTTGCCTCTTAATTTTGCAATTAAGAGGTAAACAAACAACCCCTTAGTCCACCAACATAATGGCGACGACAAAAAAACATACAACATGATACCCATCCGAATTTTGAAATAAATACCACCTATATTCAAAGCAAAGATGTATAAGCTAAGAGTTGATCATTGATGAAGCCAAATTTCCACCGGAAAAGGCTGTGTACCTAACGACAATTCGAACACATGTCATAAACCATTAGTACATTGAAATAAATGGTTTCAACTTGGCCATCATTCATTCATTAATCGAGAATATATATCACATATTGTTCTTATCACAATGAATTCAAATTAATCTAGATATAAAGATAAACTAAGATACGATAAGGTCTAACATCCCCCCTCAATTTGGAGCATGGGGATCAAGAATGCCCAACTTGTCAGTCAGACAATCAAATTGAGTTTTGCCAAGCGCCTTAGTAAGAATATCAGCCAGTTGCTCAGAGGTATGAACATATGATGGAGCGATCAGACCGTCAACAATAGCATCTCGGACAAAGTGACAGTCCACCTCGATGTGCTTCGTACGTTCGTGAAAAACAGGATTCTCAGCCAGGTAAAGAGCGACCTGATTGTCGCAGAATAAGCGTATAGAGTGAGGATGACGAATACCGAGACTCAAAAGTAAGCCCTTCAGCCATTTAAACTCACAAGTAATAGCAACCATAGACCGGTACTCTGCTTCAGCAGATGACCGTGAAACAGTGTGTTGTTTCTTTGTTTTCCATGCAATTGGAGAATCCCCAAGATAAACAATCCAACCAGAAAGTGATCTTCTAGTGATTGGACAAGCCGCCCAGTCCGAATCACACCAACCAGTCAAAGAGAGCTTACTATCAGCTCGTAACAGGATACCACGACCTGGAGTGCCTTTTAGGTACTTAACAACTCGCAAGGCAGCCTCCCAGTGTTCAATTCTAGGAACCTGCATGAATTGGGACAAGATATGAACCGAATAACTGAGATCGGGGAGTGTAACAGACAAGTAAATTAGACGCTCGATAAGTCGTCGATAGGCCTCTGGATCGGCTAAGACAGTTCCCTTGGCAAGACCAAGTTTGTGGTTTTGTTCAAGAGGAAACCTACTTGGTTTAGCACCAAGAAGATCTGTTTCAGTAACAATATCCAACGTATACTTGCGTTGACATAGGAAAATACCCGCATGACTCCGAGCAGCCTCTATACCCAGAAAGTATTTCAAGGTGCCAAGGTCTTTTATTTTGAAACACGTGCTGAGATACCTCTTGAAGGCGCAAATAGCATTGGAATTATTTCCCGATATGATTACATCATCAACATATACCAGAACATTCACTTGTACCTGTCCCTGAGTGTAAGTGAACAAAGAATAATCAGAATAAGATTGTTTAAAACTGTATCTCTTGAGGGCTGTGACAAGCTTCGCAAACCAACACCTTGGAGCTTGTTTTAATCCATAAAGAGACTTACGGAGCCGACACACTAAGTTTGGATTGGAGCTTTTGAAGCCGGGAGGAAGACGCATGTATACTTCTTCTGTTAAATCGCCATGCAGAAAAGCATTGTGGACATCCATCTGATGAAGTTCCCAATTTTTAGAAGCTGCAACAGCCAAGAAAACACGAACAGTTGTCATCTTGGCTATTGGGGCAAAAGTTTCATTGTAATCGACCCCGAATTTTTGATGATTTCCAAAGACAACTAATCGTGATTTGAAACGCTCAACATCTCCATTCAATTTATATTTAATCTTGTACACCCATTGACTTCCAAGAGCACGTTTACCAGACGGAAGAGAAGTCAAGGTCCAGGTGCGATTGTCTTCAAGGGCACGTATTTCTTCTTGCATAGAAGCCTTCCAACGTTCATCTGTCATGGCTTCTTTAAAGGATTTGGGTTCTTGACCCGAGACTACAGCTGCTATAAAGTTTTGATGACTAGAAGAAAAACGATCACAGTTAATATAATGTGCTAGGGGGTAAGGAGTACCTGAGGAAGCCGATGGAGATGGGTTGACGGGAGACGAATTGTGAGTAGTAGACGGGTTGAGAATAAAGTCTTTAAGCGGAACTGAAGGAAACTTGAGACGTTAACCTCGACCCATCTTAGGTGTAATGTTGTCCGAATCGAAATCAGGGGGTGAACCCGTAGGTCAGCCGTGAGATGACCCGGGGGAGATTGGATCAGGTTGTGGAGCTGCTATCGGTGTGGAAGGCGGGTTTTCAACCTCTTCATCAAAATGAGAGGGAATTTCTTGGATAGTAGGAGTGTCAGTCTTATGGTTGGGATCCATATCTGTGTAAGGGAAAATGTCTTCGAAAAACTTAACATCACGAGAAACAAAGAAATCCCCGGTGTCTAAATCATAAAGTTTCCACCCTTTCTTGCCAAATGGGTAACCTAAAAAAATACATTTTCGACTACGAGAAGCAAATTTGTCACCCTTAGCCTTTTGACTGTGAGCAAAACATAAGCACCCAAAGGTTTTTATCGTGACATATGAAGGCAAAGTGCCAAATAAAAGTGTAAAAGGAGATTGATTTTGTAATAAAGGAGAAGGAGTACGGTTTATAAGATGAGCAGCTGTAAGAATACTTTCTCCCCAAAAACGTATGGGTAAGTTGGCTTGAAACATAAGAGCACGAGCAACGTTCAAAATATGTTTATGTTTCCGTTCGACTCTACCATTTTGTTGTGGGGTTCCTACGCAAGATGTTTGAAATAAAATACCATGGGTAGCAAAATAATCAAAGAGACAATTAAACTCAGTACCATTGTCACTTTGAACCATTTGAATCTTTTAAGAAAATTATCTATTGATCATAGCTATAAATGACATAAACATTTGAAAAACTTCGGTTTTGTCAATCAACAAATAAACCCAAACAGATCTAGAATAATCATCTACTATGGTTAAAAAATAACGCGCACCACAACTTGAAGCATGTTTATAAAGCCCCCACAAATCACAGTGAACTTTTTCAAAGATTCTACCTGCTTTATTAAAACTTAAAGGAAACTTGTCTCTAGACTGTTTAGCCCGAAAACACACACCACAGGCTTTATTCAAACTACCCCTAAGATTACTAACTGTAGGAAGAGATTTCACCACTTTCTCATAAGGATGCCCCATTTGTTTATGCCAGAGTTCCAAGGTTGAAGTAGCCCCGTTTGCTGAAATATGTAAAATAGAGTCTCCCTTGCCAAAGTAGTACAATCTGTCCTGTCTAACTCCCGTTCAATCAGCCTCCTCGACCGGTCCTGTATAGCACACATATAAGAGTCAAACTGAGCAATACATTTCATATCATCATTTAACCGTGAAACTGAAATCAAATTGCAATTTAGTTTGGGAACCAAAAGAACACGTTTAAGTGTAATTTTGTCTGATAATTGAACACTTCCCTCATGGGTTGCTATAACCTTTTTGTCATTAGGTAAATCCACAAGACATCCTGGTATCTTGCGAATATTTGTTAACCAAGTCGCATCACCTGTTACATGATGTGTAGCCCCTGAATCAATTATCCAAAGTCGTTTTTGGAACTTACCATTTAAGCGCTCATCAGGTATTTTTGAAGTACTCATAAGACCTGTAAGTGCTTTCCACTGTTCAGCTGTGAAGAGAAGAGGACTTGTATTATTGTTGCCCCCACCGGCTTGACCAGCCACTGTGGAATGAGAGTTGTGACCTACAGATAACGAGTTTGCACGAATATTACTTCTTCCTCGTCCACCTGATCTACCTCCACGTCCTCCTCCATCATTTTTACTTCTGTCTTCCCACCATTCAAGATATCCCACCAATTCAAAACAGCTTGAAGACTCATGACCTGTCTTCTTACAGTGGCTACAAAGAAGATGAGATTTATCAGGTTTTTCTCCTCCCCTACCTCTACCTTTATTCATGTTAACCCAAATTGAAAAACCAAGAACTTCTGGTGGTTTCTCTTCAACAGTTCCCTGAGCAGTCCATACCCTTTCGTCTTGTACAACTAATTGAAACGCTTTATCTAACGAGGGAAGAGGGTCATGTGACAATATGCTTGATCAGAGAGTAGAGAAATAATCTGAGTGTAGGCCCATGAGAAATTTATGCAGCATGTCGGTGTCTATTCTGTTTTCGTGTCTACTACCTGTTGTACACTCCTCATAGCATGTACAAATAATAAGCGGCTCATGTCTGTGAAGTTCTTCCCACAAGGCAGTAAGTTTGCCAAAGTATTCCGACACATGCATGGTTTTAGACTGCTCACATTTGGCGATAGATGATTTTAACTGTTGTATTCTAGGGCCATTAACTACAGCAAATCGAGATTTTAGAGTATCCCAAAGTTTCTTTGCATCTCTGTATTTTGATAAATAACACTTTACCTCAGGATCAATAGTGTTCATTATCCAGGAAATCAACATTGCGTTGATAGTCTGCCAGTCGGATTGAGTACAGGGGGGTACCGATGCTGTGATCGATCCGTCTAGGAAGCCGAACTTGCGCCTTGCCTCCAGCGCCGCCTGAATATCACCAGCCCAATCTTCATAATTGTCTCCACGTAATTTTGTTGGAGTGATAAAATCTCCTAGTCTATCTTGAGGACCAAGATAGAAGGGGGAATTAGATTCGATTTTTGCAACCGGTGATGGAGGATTTGCTCCGCCGCCAGACATGGTTTTAGGTTGTTAAGCCGGCTCTGATACCATGAAATAAATGGTTTCAACTTGGCCATCATTCATTCATTAATCGAGAATATATATCACATATTGTTCTTATCACAATGAATTCAAATTAATCTAGATATAACGATAAACTAAGATACGATAAGGTCTAACATACATATTGTGATATCCCTGTCATAAATCGTTGGCACTGGAAAAAGCTTCTACAATGTCATACTTCTTTATGACGATTAACTGAAAAAACGCATAAGGAGATGAGTTGCCTAGTCGTTGACTTGAAAATGATCTCCCGACCTTTTGCCTTCTTGACATGAAGTCAAATTGATTTTGGATATTTATTTAAACTCTAATTGTAACAGAAAATATTTTTTCTTAAAAAAGTTATAATTGACTTAACATCACGAAAATTTAAATTAAAATGTATGTAAATAAAGGTTATATATGTAAATATGGATCATGTAGTATATTCATCCCATTCCATTATGAAAAAAAAAAGTCTCTTTAAAAAAAAGAAATAAAAACAAAAAACAACCCTTTATTGAAGAATGGAATGAATCATTCTAGTTCTTTTCAATTCTATCATATCAAATACTACGAAATTGATACAAAGTTTTAATTGATGTTTGACAAATAGTAGAGGGACGGTTATTGTAGTTTCTATAACCCGACCCGATAAGAGGATCCGTTTCTGTGAGCCCAAGTTGTTTTATTCGTCTCTCTACTCGCTTCACTACTTCGTTCATAAACCACGTTAGGGTTTAACGACTTCATTCAAAACCCAGAAAAATGGCGTCTCTAATGGCGATTCGCAGAGGCACTCTTACTTCTTCATTCAAGGTAGCTTCTATACGCTCTTCTCATTACATTTTCATCCGCAACTCCCTCAAAACTCTCTCTACATCGACCGCCCCAAACAGCTTCGATTCACCCCCGAATGATCAAATAAACACTAACCCATGGAACCTACAACACAATCATCAACAAGGGAACCTCAATCAATGGGATAATCGGAATCAGAGGTATCCGAATCAACCAAATCCTGCGCAGCAGAACTTCTATCCGGAGAACCCTAATCAGCGTCAGAATTATCCTCCAAATGCCGGGCAGAAAAATTATCACCAGGAGTACCCTAATCAGCGCCAGAATTACCCGCCGGTTGCGGGGCAGCAAAGTTTTAACCAGGAGAACCCTAGTCATCGTCAAAATTATCCCTCAAATGATGGGAGACAAAGCTTTTACCAGACGAACACCAATCAACGTCAGAATTATCCTCCACAACCCCCAATTCAGAGTCAGAATTATCCTCCACAACCCCCAATTCAGAGACAGAATTTCCAACAACATCAACCCTCTAATTACTCGCCCCAAAACCCTAATCCTAGCGAAACCCATATACCACGAAGCCCTATTGCTAGGAATAATGATCAAGTACAGAGAGCTAGTAGTCATGCTTCCGGTGCGAAAGTTGATTTGTTAAAGATATGCAAAGAGGGAAAGCTTAAGGAAGCCATTGAACTAATGGACGAGGGTCAACTTGCAGATGCTGAATGCTTTAATGCTCTATTTGGGTTATGTGGGAAATTCAACAAGCTTGAGGATGCTAAAAAAGTCCATGATTACTTCTTGAGATCGAGTTACAGAGGTGAAATCCAATTGACTCACAAAAGTAATCGACATGTACAGCAAGTGTGGAAGCATGGTAGATGCACGCCGAGTGTTCGATCATATGTCTGACAAAACCATGGACACTTGGCATCTGATCATACACGGGTACGCCTCAAACGGATTAGGAGATGATGGATTAGAAATGTTTGAACAGATGAGAAACCATGGATTACAACCAAACGAAGAAACCTTCCTTGCTGTTCTTGAATCTTGTGCAGGCGCTGAAGCCATTGAAGAAGGATTCATACACTTTGAATCAATGCAAAAAGAATACGGAATTTCCCCCAAAATCGAACATTATTTAGGGGTTTTAGCCATTTTTGGAAAATCTGGACACCTTGATCAAGCTTTGGAGTACATCCAGACATTACCATTTGAACCCACATCAGAAATCTGGGAAGCTGTAATGAACTATGCTCGAATCCATGGAGATATCGATCTTGAAGACAGAGCTGAAGAGATCTTAATCAATCTTGATCCATCAAAGATTGACCCAGAAAAGATTCCAACGCCCCTTCCGAAGAAATTTTCTGCCATTAACATGCTTGAAGGTAAGAACAGGGTGGGTGAGTTTAGAAACCCTAGTTTATACAAAGATGAAGAAAAGTTTAGGGCTGCAAATAAAGAGCAGAGTTATGTCCCGGATACCAGGTATGTTCTTCATGATATTGATCAAGAAGCTAAAGAACAGGCTTTACTTTATCATAGTGAAAGATTGGCAATTGCTTATGGATTAATTTCTACTCCTGCAAGAACACCTCTAAGGATTATAAAGAATCTTCGTGTTTGTGGTGATTGTCATAATGCTATCAAGATTATGTCGAGGATTGTGGGGAGGGAATTGATTGTTAGAGATAATAAAAGGTTTCATCATTTTAAAGAAGGGAAGTGTTCTTGTGGGGATTATTGGTAGGGTTATCAACTTCTGATTCACCTGGTTAATTTAAAGCTATGTTTTTCTTTTTTTCTTTTTTCTAGTATTGGTTAGTATTATTGTGGCTAAAATGATATGATATTTGGGTTTTAGCATACTTTGTTATATTTAAGTCATTGTTAATGGTTGATTTTCCTCTTGTACAATCATGTTTTAATCTGTTACTAGAAATCTACCAATTTATCATATGCATAAATTGGTATATCTAATAACAAATTGGTTATATTGCTGGCATATATTGGTAAAAGATTGATAGCAGCCTTATAAGTTCATTATATATACACAAGTCTTTAATCCTTTAATTATTTGTTATAACACTTGCTTAAAAGCCATTATGTTTTGCGCATTTTTTATGGTTTAATAACTATATTTTAGTTTCATCAATCAAAATAACAAAGTTTTACAATTTTTTCAATGATAGCAAGTTAAAGTAGTCATCTAGAAAAAATTGTCTAAGTTTAATGGCTTTAGTGAATAATTTTGACACTGAATATTTCAACTAAAGCCACTTAATTTGACAAGTCAAGTTATTCCTTTGTTTTTTGCAAGAATCTGAATGTTATATATCCTGCAATCTAACGTAAATGAAATTACAAATTTCTTCAATAAAATGCATGTAAATGGAGAGAATAAATTAATAAAATCAAGACAAAATGCACTTAACATAAGTTATTAATAAAAAAATATGACAAATGGCATGTTAACTAAATGGAAAATAGAAGGTTTTTTGTAAATAGTAAATACGTCAAACATTAAAAGCCTATAAAAAATAATTTATTGTTTAAATAATTTCGAAACAAATGTATGTTCTCATTCTATTCTATCACCATCTGTAAGTACACCATAAATTAACAAGAATTACAACAAAACCTGAATTATAAAACAATAACTATATAAACTTTTGTGGGTGGTGTCAAGGTGGTTTTCCATTCTCCAAATCTTCCATTACATCAATATCCTTGCGTGCTGTGATCTTCTGGACATAACCTGTATCATAAAAGAATCCATATTCAAACTTTCTTGATGAAATGGAATGACAAAAGGAATGGAATTGATAGTGTAATGCGTTAAGAAAGGTAATGGAATTGGTGATTACATAGTAACATTACCTATTCCTTGGCATGGTATACATTTGCAGGTGACTTCCCTACCCCTTTTGTTGTAATAACTCGCGTATCCTGATCCTTGACAACTTCTACATCTTCCAGTCCATTCGTAAACTACTTCCTTACAATCCTACATAAATCTTGCAGAAATTAGTACCAAATTAAGTTATGAAAATCCTTGCAAAGATACAGCTAAAAAGATACGATTTTGATTTTGGAATGAAGACTGTTCTTCACAATGCATATGCTGGAAGGGCGATATGACTGGTTATGGAGTTAAAATCAATGAATGTACCATCTAACAGAATCATAAAGGAGAATTCGACACACAAAATGATAGATTTCTTCTTGTTATCGTGTATCATCAGACGCAAAACCGGATAGCCATGAAAAGAAGATCAATATCTTATCGAGAACAGACAACAAACCTCAATCAATGGATCGCAGCGTAGCCTCCGATCGATAACATCAGGCGACACAGGTGATGTGTCTGGATACGTCATCGGGAGAGGCAGCGGGTCGTCGTCATCAGTCAAGTAACTCTCACGATCACGCGACCATCTCTCCTTCGCATTAACTTTGGTAGTACTACTATAATTACTATCGTTACCTAGGTTACGAGTACGCTTCTTCTCCACAGCCGTTGGAGGGCTAACGAAGTCATTTTTATTGAGTTTTCCGGTGGAGTCAGCTGCGGCGGAGAAACTGAAGGACCAATTGAGGTTATCGGAGGCAGCGCGGGTGCGGAGGAGGGTTGGGGGAGGTGTTAGGTAGGTGGTAGTTGGGGGTTTGGTGAATATGGGATTAGGGTTTATCGGCAACATTCAATTAGGTTATGAATCGAATGTGAGCATGTAAGGGAGTGGTTTCTTATCTGTGACTGGTTATGTAAGCCGGAGAGGATTTTTAGACGGCTGAGTAGTGGCCACGGAGGAGGACGGAAGCGGTGGGTGGTGTCGTCGTCGGTGAAGACCCGGATTGCGATATGAAGCGGGTTAAAAATGGAATAGAAACATGATCCGAAATGGAATAGACAATAGAGGACCGAGTTTGAATCATTTAAAAAATAGAAAATTATTTAATATGACATTTTAGGGAGTAGAAAATAAATAAATTAAAAGATGACATATTTTAAAAATAAATATGATTTGATGAAAAAGCTATATTTTCGTGACTGACCATTAAAATGTTTTTGTTATTGAATAAAAGAGACATAATTATATATATACCCTATTAAATCATATTTTCATCAAATCCATTAGGAACCGAAAGAAGTGAAAGCATTGACATATGCCTAGGTTGATATATTTGTGGATCTGAAAGTGATAACGACAAAAAAAAAATCTTACTTTTTGGAGGCAAGTTCTAAGTTCTTAGACTGTAACACCTTGTTTCTCGTTAATTTATTTTGGTCGTACTTTATAAATCTAGAAAGGAAACATTTTTTTTAAAAATTTAAAGAGAACCATTAATAATAATAATAATAATAATAATAATAATAATAATAATAATAACAACTAAGAAGTGAATATTTAAAGGTTTGGTATTCTTTTTTTGATGAGCGGCTGAAGTTGTGAAGTTAGAAACCTTGGAAAGTAAGACTTTTGGTGTGTAGGCATGGTTTTGGTCGCATCTTGAAAGTATTTTTGCAACGATTTAGGAGATGGGGGTTATTCTTGCCAAGTAGATAAAAGATGGTGCTTTTGTGTATGATTTTGTGTATGAGTTGGACTCCCATCCTCATGTTTCCCTCCTTGTCGATCATAGCAACTAAGATTAACCAAACCCTAAACACTTCCCTCTGTTTTCTCTTTTGCTTCGCCACTCCTTCCGCCACTCCGAACCGTCGCTTGCCAGAATAGCCGCTACCACCATCACAACCTCTTCTAGCTGCCAGAAGTAGAATGAGTGAAGGAGGAAGGCTCGACCTAGGGTTTTTTTGGATCGGATTCTCCATAAAGGTATTCCATTTTCGTTTTCCCTTGTTCCACCCTCCTATTTTTAGTCGAAATGTCATCACCACCACCGTCGGCCACCACTGCCATGATGAGTGTGGGTGGTGATGATTTCTAACGTCATCCTTGGGTCATTGGTGTTGCTGGGGCGTGGTTTAATGGAAAATGACCTATAAGGGTAACATAGTTCTCGTTTTGTACACGTTTAGTCCTCATTGTTTTTTTTTTGTTTGTAAAATAAGTCCCTTAACTTACTGTTTTTGTCCACATTCAGTCATTATGACTGACTACCACATGTTAAATTCTCAGTTTCTACACATTTAATTCTTAATATTGTTTTTTTTTTGCAAAACAAGGCTTTGTTGTTTTTGTATATATTCAGTCCTTATGATGGGTTTCTTCAGGATTTGCTCACGTGACATCCTACACGAGACAACCGTTAATGAGGTGTTCTCATACGTGGCTCATCTAAACACTGGAATCATGTATTACTTGTCCTGGTTTTGGTAATAACATTGTATTATTGATATTAGTGACTATGATAGTACAATACCAACTATATTTAATACTAATACAAATTTTATTCAATAGCAATACCAACTACATTACATCAGGTGAATAAAATACAATAGCCATAATGATTTCAATTGTTGGAAATAGTCTCCAAATTCATAATAGTTGGTTATACTATTAATAATAATAATAGAATCATTTTGGGTTACACGCAAGGACATGAAACCTCCTCTTTAGCAGCTGCAAACTCATCTTCAAAATTCAGGGTCAATTTGAAAAGAATAAAAAACCTATTTGCAGAAAAATGGTCAAAATCGACATACCAAGGAATTAGGGAAGACTCTAAACTTTTTTTTAGGGTGTTATTTTGTCTTCGAAGTCCTAATTCGAGTTGGGAGAAATAATCACAAAGAATCCTATTTTATGCTATTGAGATACATGAAACTGAAGCCGAAAACATCTTGTTCTTGGAGAAAACTAGGGCGCCACCATTATTTAACCGATTCGTGAATTAGGTTATTGATATGAGTGAGGGAATAGCTATGTATGAGAACACCTCATTAATAATTGTCATACGTAGGATGTCACGTAAGCAAAATCTAAAGAAAATCGGTCATAAGGACTGAATGTGTACACAAACAACAATGACTTATTTTGCAACAAAAAACCATTAAGAACTATATATGTACAAAGTGAGAACTTAACCTGGAGTACCCGGTTATAACCTGGAGTAGCCGATCATAAGAACTAAATGTGTATAAAACAAGAAGTTAAAGGGCTTATTTTACAAGAAAAAACAATAAGTACTAAACGTGTATAAGGCAAGAACTATGTTACCCTTATAGGTCATTTTCCAGTGGTTTAATGCAAACCAAAACTCTAAGTTCATGTTTTTATCAATATAGCCTTCTACTTTGATTTTCTCGTTTAAACAACATACTTTGGGTAGAGGGTGGCAATGTAAATGGTCATTTTGATTCAAAGCTTTGTTGTCACTGTCAAGTCTTTGCTTTCCAGCTTTATGGGTCGTTTCATGATGCCTTAATGGGTTAAGAAGCTAAATTAACCCAAAAAGTCAAAGCTGGGAAATTATATGTTTTGCTCTTTTTCCATTCTGTTTTGAGTCTAGTGGTTCCATGATTTTTTCCTTGACTTGTTGATGACCCTAACCAGGGTGAAAATTGTCATTTTCACCGACCAGTCCGAATTTAGCTGCATTGATATGTTGTTTTGTAAAATTCATAGTAAATCATAGAAAAATAATTAGGCTTAGTGTAATATATCCCTGAAAAGGTATTGAGCTAAAATTTATGAATATGAAATAATCTTCTGTATTGAAGGGGTTTAAGGAGAGCAAAAAAGGTCTTGAACATGGTGTTGTTTTGGGGTTAAGAGCTGGAATTGGAACTATGGATTAACTAGTTTAGATTATAGGCTAAGGTTGCTTATTGATACTTTAAAACACTTATATAGGGAAAAGGGAAGTGTCTTGAATCTTTGGAGCTTTGGTGCTTGCTTGTTGTGATTCACATTTGATTTGAGGCAGGTTTCTAACTACATTATACTGATGTGTATGTTCTTTGCTTCTTGAATATAAACCAAGCTTCTGCTTCTTGAATATGAACCAAAACACACCAAAATGAACACAATGAGCTCAAAACACAAAGGAGAGGCTTAGGGTTTCGTGCTTGAGGCTATATGGACAATGGAGGCTGAGAAATAAGGGTTTCATGGTCCAAAATGATGTTTATATAGTGACCAACCTCGAAAATTAGGGTTTCTAAATGACTCACGTACGCCCTGCATACATACACGTACACCCAGCGTACGTGTCCGGAGTCCCTATTCCGCCTCGCATGAGTACGCTAAGCATACCATGTGGTACGCCCCGCGTAATCGCTTTACAGCTTGTACGTTAAGCGTACCATGTGGTACTCCCCGCGTATGTGACATCCCCATTTTTACGGCCAGAAAAGACCGATTTCGTTTATGCTTTTTAATAAAAATCAGAGTAACTTCTTAAGAAAAGTATTGCAAAATTTGTTCCTAAAACAAAATATGATATAAATTTATCAAAGCATTTCTTAAAGAAATGTATTTTCATTACATTACAAAAACTCGGGATGTCAATCATCGATACATACCATAAGCATAAACCAAAAAGAAATAAACATCTTAGGCCACAAAACACTATCTGGCCTCAAATCCATAATCTCTCGTCAAGTCATCCAACTATGCTTTTGCCACTACCTGTAATACAATAAAACTGAGTGGGTTAGGCTGGGGAGCCTGGTGAGCATATAGGGTTTTTAACCCACAATAATAAGTTCATTATTTATTTTCATCAAATCGTTAACCCGATTACCCATTCCCGTTATCCTCACTTTACGTCCCTAAAGCATCTATTCTAAAGGACCTAGCCTAAGGATTTTTTTCTTCTGGGTGACAACACTGCTCAGGGGATTCCTCAGCAATACATGTCAAATAAAGCAACCATGGGGGGGATGGAGTACATCTTCAAAAAACACCTACAGGTTGCGAGCCTGCTAACGTTCCACTGGACTGCCTAGAAAAGTCCGTGGTCGTCATCTATACACCGCTAGACGAATGGATCATCTTAAACATCGTAAACATCGAGGCCTCTCATCATTTTAACACACATCATCTATTTCATCTACCCAACATATTTGTAGATATAAAATACAAACACAATCCATATCTGAAAAACAATGTTTACATCTTTCATCCAACATAACTTTCAAAGCATAAAATATTTATACAGTCTAGAACTGAAAAATAATGTTTACATCTTTCATCCAGCATAACTTTCAAAGCATAAAATACATATACGGTCTAGATCTGAAGAAAAAGTTCAGATCTGAAGGAAAGAAGTTCAGATCTTTCATCCAACATAGATTTCAAAGTATACAGTTTAGATCTGAAGAAGAAGTTTAGATCTGAGATGAGAAAGTGTAGATCTAAAGGAAAAAGTTTCAGATCTGAAAGAAAGAAGTTCGGATCTTTCATCCAACAAACATCTCAGGTAAACAGATAACATATATATATACATAGCACATAATTTATATAAAATACTTCATATCTATGTGTAAGATGAAAGTGACTATACACTCACCTGATACAGAGTGATTTGGACAGCACCTCGCTTCTTAAAATAATCTTCTTTGATGAAACCGGGAAGTTTGCTTGAAAACCTGGCTCCTCGCGGGTAGAGTTTCAAATCGAAAAACTCTTTTTCTCGGAGTCTTCTAGCGCTCCGGGGCTTTCTTCGGGTGCTAGGGGGTTTACCTAGACTTAGGAGGGGGTTAGGGAGGTAGTGAGAGAAAGTAGAGAGAGAAAGTAGTGAGAAAATGAGCAGAAATCTTAGCTGCCCTCGGTCCCCTTTTATAGGCGAGACCTCGGACGTACGCTGGGCGTACCGAGGCTTCTACGCGGGGCGTACTCCTCACTCCGTACACACGTGTCCGATTCTCGGTGGTGGTACGTGGCTTATCTCGGACCGTAGAAAAAGTCAATACGCGGGGCGTAAGGTTCTTGTACGCGGGGCGTACTTGGTACGCTAGG